TGTGTGTGTGTGTGTGTGTGTGTGTAAACATAAAAAGCGCGAGATATGATATAGGCTCAATTTAAAATGTAACTTAAAGTTCTACTCTATAAAAATGATACCATATCTGAGAATATGTGAAACATATGGAAATACATGAAATGTATGAATAATGTATGAAATGTATATGTGTGCATTATCCACATATTTGCTGGTTTACATTCTTTATATCAAGTTGCATATATTTGCAATAAAACTGCCATGTTACACATTAAATACGCAATAATGATAACGCAAAAGTACAACAAAGTACTATTATATTCTGGTGCAACAATGAATTATAATTGCATGAACACAAAACTTTGTTAATTACCAACAAATTGCTTATCGCAGAAAAAACAAAGTGCAACTAAACGAACTAAATTCCGACTTATCACCAATTCTCCATTTCGTCTATCGCTATATCCAGAATTCTAGAATATTATGTAAATCGGAAAACGGTTGAGTGTTTTAGAGTTCGCTATTACATCACAAAGCAATGGTGCAACGACCGAATGTAGTAGTGTGCAGCAGGTAATGATGCCGTTGCCGCCGTAGCGCGTAGAGCACAGTAGTGAGTAAACCCCCGTACTTCAGATGAATGTCGCACGAGGATTTGCAAGATTCGACGAAGGAGGAAACTGTGTGAAACTGAATTATCTTATTCGGATAGATGAGATGAAGATAAGCAAACGGTTGTTTTGAAATCAGTTCAAGAATAGTAATTGAATACATAAAGAGGCAACTTATTGCAAAAAGGACCATCATAATTCATAGCAAATATTTTAAACATTGAATAGTTACTGAGAAAAAAACGCAATGATCAATGAAAAAATGGAGGAAAATAACAAAATTATAACCGAATTTCAATAAATTTATGTTAAGTAGTTACACGATAAAGCGCATAACTCAACAACGCCTGGACCAATTTGGCCAATTCTTTTTTTAAATGTTCGTTGAAGTCCAAGGATGGTTGTTACGGCGCGAGAAAAAACGAATAATTGCCGGGAAAACCCTAAAAAACAGCCCTTTTCTTTTTCACATACAAACGTTTTCTAACTAAAACGCAGAATTAATTTGAGCGTTAAATTCTTCTTCTGCAATGGTGTATGAAAGGATAATCCTACTAAACGATTGATTATTCCAATTTTGATAAATCTTTCCAATTTTGATAATCTTTCTGAAGTTTGTTATGGGAATTTTTTAGGATTTTTTGAATTATAGAAATATAGTTAGATTGTAGAAATAAATAGAAAAAAATATAAAAAAACCTCTTATTATTCATAGACATTGAAAATATTTGAGGCATTGTTTGGCATTGAGAAGACTGTCATTTGCAATTAAAAATAGTATATTACAAGTTCTGATCAGTTAGAATTAAAAGAGCTGTAATCCAATTAATGCGGGGGGTGGTGACGGAGTGCAAATTGTTCACACTCCTGAACTTGAGATTAAGATTAGCATATTCCCAAATATCATGCAAATTGGAGCACAGTAAAAAAAAATCACAGGGCACACACTTCTTCCTCTCCATGTACTGCAATAATTTTGTTGATCGTAGGTTGAATAGAGCACATATGAACAGGATTTCACAAATTAATTCACTTCAAATATCAACTTAAGTAATAATGTATATTGAATTATTAGTGAGAAAAATGTAATTTAGATATTAAAATTACTAAAAGCCATTTAAAATATGGTACAAAATTATAAAAATTATAGGCAATATTATTGTAGCAATTCTTTCTGAATTTGTCATACCTTTCAAAAGACTTCAATTTCCAATATGTATATTTTATGCTATAAATCACAAAATCAGACAATGATTCTTTGTGTAAAAAATTTGGAAAATCAATGTTTTAGTCGTGAATAAACAAAAATCATTTATTTATACATCCACATTTACAGGTATGACTAAAAATATTGGATAGGCCTTGGCATTAAAATAAATTGAGCTATTGGAAATAAATTTGTTCCATAAATTGCAGTGTATAATTTTTAATATACAATTTATATTGAACATATTTTAATATTTGTTAAATGGATAATTAAAGTGTTAACTGTGGGAATTGAGAATCATCATTTTATTTGAAGCAGTTCTACATTCAACATCACTCATATATTGGTGTAAATAGTAATTCAAAAAACAATAATTATTATTTTTACCTGAACGGTAAATATTATTATAGGATATTAAAAAAAGTAGATGTAGGTACAGGACAACGTCTGTCGGGTCATCTAGTAGGATAATAAAAGCTCCAAGATAATCAAGTTTCAAAATATATAATAAAGAATAATAAACTAGTGGTTCATAGCATCGAAAATTCGTATCCGCACATACATACATGCACACTAAAATCAAATTTTCCTGAAGTATGCCAAAATCTTCAGCAACTTTAAAATGTAAAGATGTGTAAATTTTCATTTTCGATTTTCTGCGATCCCTATAACTTACCCTACTGTAAGTAATTTAAGATATAATAATTAATATTGCAGAACTACTCAAGCGTAGTTATCCACCACTATAAGCATATAGCAGCAGCCAGCGCGGATTAATTATCATATCTATTGTGCTCGCATACAACTAATACGTTTAAAGATAAAAGAGTTAATTAACGTCGAATGGAATAGATGAAATGTGT